TGTGAGGCAGGCAGCAGAACCACTGAGCTAAATCCCAGGCCCTTGTTAATGTTATTGATGATATTACACATCTCTTTCTGAGATAGCTTCAGGAAGATATATCTTGTTTTGGTTTATTTTTGGTACCGGCGATTGAACTCCAGTCCTTGCGCTTGTGAGGCAGGCAGCGGAAGCACTGAGCTAAATCCCCAGCCCCAGGCAGATATGTTTTAAGAGATCAGAGATAAGCAATGTAATTTAAGGTCAATCAAGGCTGTGTGTGTGTGTGTGTGTGTGTGTGTGTGTGTGTGTGATTTTGTGTGTGTTGAGGGAAAGAAAAAGGAAGTTAACCTAATTTCTATACTTTTAGCTTAGAAGACCAGATACATGAGGGCAACATGAAGAAGAGAATATAGACAGAGGAAAGTTTATCATTTGCAAATTATATCCTTTTTGTTTTCTTTCTTCTTGAGATGAGGTCTTACTGTGTTGCCCAGGTTGGTCTTAAACTTCTAGGCCCAAGTGATCCTCTTGCCTCAGACTCCCAAGTAGCTGGTACTACAGCTACATTGCCACCACACCTAGCTATAAATTGCATATTTTATTATATAAACAAATGAGCAAGTATTTATCAAAATGAATTACTTCAGAAAGTGGCAACAATAAGTGTTTGAACTGAGGGGGAGTATTTCAGGAGGGATAACTGGCAGTATGTCATTTACTATAATAATTTTTTGGGGGGTTACTGGAGATTGAACTCAGAACCTTGCGCTTGCAAGGTGGGCACAGTGCCACTGAGCTAAATCCCCGTAGTAATTTTTAAAATTTAAACATTCACCCTAGTTTGTGATCACATCTTATATAACTGATTATAGCTAAGTACCGATTTTCATTTTAATTTTGATATTTGCTATTTAATTGTGAAACAATCTGGAACTCACAGAAAAGCTGCAAATATAATATCAAAAATATTTCCCTTTCCCACCATTTCAGACTAGTTGCTAATATGATGCTTTACCACTCCTGAATAGTTTACTGTGTTTTTCTTGCAAGCAAGGAGTTTTTCCTACATAATTACAATTAAATCAAAGGCAGGAAATTAACACGAATATGTCAGTACTACCAAATTATTAAACTCCATTCACATTTCACCACTTGTCATTCACAAATTATATCCTTTACAGCAATAAAATCCAGTCTAGAATGATGTATTACCATTATTATATCTCTGTAGTTTCTTTTAATCAGCAATCAAACCTCAGCATTTGCTTGGTCTTCATTCTCTCCATACTTTTGAAGATTACAGTCACTTTGTAGAATTTCCTTCCTTTCCACTCATCTGATGTTTCCTAATGATTTGGTGTAGGCTGAAGATCTTCGGTAAAAATGCCACAGAAGTGATGCTGTGTGTGTGTTTTTGTTATTTCCTATCAGGAAGCACATCATTTTGTTTTGTTTTGTTTTTTGGTACCAGGGATAGGAAGCACATCATTTTGATGTGTAACACTACTGACAGTGTTTAACCGAGCATTTAAGATGGTGTCAGCCAGGCACAATGGCACACATCTGTAATCCTAGCACTCTGGAGCGGTAAAATGGGATGATTGCAGGTTCAAGCCCAGCCTAGGCAATTTAACAATTTAGTGGGACCCTGTCTCAAAGGGGGGCAGGGCAGGTTTGTTGTTCAGTGGGGGAAAAAAAAAGATGGTGTCTGCCAGGTTTCTCCAATATAAAATTAGTCTTTTCCTCTTTATACTATAGTATTTTGTAGTGGAGATACTTTAAGCTTATATGAATATTCTTTACCAAATTTTCTATTTGTTCATTTATTTATATCAGCATGGACTCATATTTTCCTACTTTATTCAATGAGTTATAATGTTGTTATTTATTGTAATGTTCAAATTTCCCTTAGATTTTGCCAAAGGGAAGACCTTCTTTAATTTGACTTTTATGTCTTCTGCAACATTGTTTTTGGCACTTTATACTTTCTGTCATTACAAGATGCGCAGGCATATATCTTATTGTGTTCTTGCTTCAAGCAGTAGAATCAGCCATTTATTGAAGGAGACCTGGATCTTTTTAGTGGAGAAAGGTGTTTGGAAGCCAAGATTTGGGCTGCATGTGTGTTCACTGTTTCTGGGTTATCTCTGCTCCCAGCTCAACCCAGCGGAAGTGGTAAGAAACACATGTACATGTTACAGATACACATTGATATCTGTACTTAATCCTATGTATTCATTTGCATGGATGCCTCTAGCTTCAATCCAGCACCATAGGATTCACTTTAACCCTCTTCCTTTCCATATCTGTAATTCACTCAGTGAGAAATCTGGCAATTATTATCCTCAAAATATTTATTTGATCTGTCCTATTTAGATAAACTTCCACTGCCACCCCATCCCCAACCTCAAGAGATGCCTCCCTCTCTCCCTCGAGTTCTGACACCTCATCCTGGGCTTCCCTACAGCCTGGAAGCCATTCTTACCCTAACTGAGCATCAGTACTCCTTGCTAGCGCTGGGTGCTGTCCCATGCACAAAAGTCCCTCCTACTGTTTAGATGCCGACATCCCAGAACAGCCACTTAGTAGATGCTCTCTTCACTTCTCTGTGAGGTGCATGGCTGAGGCCCTGCACAGGCTGCTGTCCTTTGTGGGTTCTCCCCTTGTACACTGGGTTTTGAAATCCTGTGCCAGGCTCCCACCCCAACAAAAGCCCTGATATCACGCACGGCCTCTAAACTGCCCTCGCATGCAGAAGTCCTCCTTACCCCATATTAGTGCCAACATCTTGCCCCAGGCTGCCTCACCACCAACATATACCCCTCTTTCCTTCTCATGCTCTAACACCCTATACCACTGCTCCATGGCTTCCTCACCCTGGCTGGACTCTATTCTGGCCCCCATGGCTACTTGTCTTACAGAGGCTCTTACTTTTCCTGGCCCCATCTAATGGTTTTAGGACTGAATTAGTTAGGAAGAGAAGAAAAACTACATACCTAATTTTAGAGTAAGTCATTTTCTTCTGCCAGGTGTGGTGGAGCATGCCTGTAATTCCAGCACTTGGAGGCTAAGGCAGGAGGACACTGCAAATTTGAGGCCAACCTGGGCTACTAGTGAATTCAGAGACAGCCTGAACTACATAGCCAGACCCTGTCTTAAAAAAAAACCCAAACAAACAACAAACAAAAACAAAATGAAACAAAACAAAAAAAGAAATTATTTTCTTAATGGCTGAAGATGTAGCTTAGTGGTAGAGTACTTAAAGGCCTGGCTTCAATCCCCAGTACCACAAGAAAAAAAATATATCATTGTCTTCTCTTTTTAAGATATTACTTTTGGTCTTTTTATTGACTGTGATTTGGCTACATTATTGATGAAAATTTTCCTTTAATTCAATAAATCTCAGAAACTACCAAGTTTACTGAAGACAATGTAATTTTTTTGTAATTTATGCAACATTACTAATTAATTCCCCAATACTTGTTTCAAAGTACTACCTCTACACTGGGTGTTTTGACCAAAATAAGGGTAAAAGGCCAAGTCAGAACACCAGGCTGCAAGGCTCTGCATGACCGGACCCTTCTCCCTGCCCCAGCTCTTCTGCTGCCCAGTCTCTGTGCAGTTCCTCCTTCAGGCCAGTCCATTCTGCCTTAGTGCTTTGGGCCTCACAGTCCCTTACTGACATGTTTCCTCAGATGCACCGAGGCTCACTCCTTTGACGCCTTCAAATTTTTGTTCACAGGTCACATTTTCAATGCAGCCCTCCTTGAAAAGCCTATTTAAAAGTGTAACTAAGGGCCAGGGATTTAGCTCAGTGGTGCCGCCACCTCCCTCACAAGCTTAAGGACCCAAGTTCAATTCCCCAATATGCCCCTGGCAAAGTGTAACTGGGCTGGGGACTTAGCTCAGTGGCACTGCATCTACTTGGCAAATGCAAGGTCCTGAGTTTGATCTCCAGTACTAGGAAAAAAAAAGTTTAACAGTCTCCCATCCCATTTTTCTGCTGTTTTCCCTAACACTTATCCCCTCCTAATAAATCATTTCTTTTCTCTTTTTTTTGGGTACAGGGATCGAACTCGGGAAGTTGCACTTGCAAGGCAGGTGGTGGAACCACTGAGCCAAGTCTCTGGCCTTATTAATCATTCTAATACTACTTTTATTTATTTTTTACTTTCCCCCCACCATAACTACAAAACTACACAAGGACAGAGATTTTTAATGTTTGGCTCATTATTTAATATTTATTAAACGAAGACAGTCATTACCTGAGGTAATTAGAATCCCTAAAGTAAATTATTAGTGCCATCTAGTGTTCTTGGAGGGATGTGCTAATTTACCCTGAGACTTACTTATATTAGCCATGATATAAATACTAATGGTTTAATCACTTCTCAGTTATTCTGCTTTTTTACTGTCTTCTGTGGTTCTGTAAAAATTAGAACGCCTGCAAAAAAAAAAATGTCTGGGCCGGGGATTTAGCTCAGTGGCAATACACCTGCCTTACAAGCGTGAGGTCTGGAGTTAGATCTGTGGTACTGAAAAAAAAATTAAAATGCAAATGCAATCATAGTACATACTGACTTCTCAAATAGCAATCTCTTTGGGTTGCTTGTTTCTTTCCAGAATTGCTATGGTGGCAGAAATACACACAGGTCACTGATATTTTAACGTGGGGGAACCTCCATACTTCTCTGCCCTATGCAAACCAAAAAACTAATACCACCATCATCACCACAACCCCAAATTGACATAGTAATAGTCATTGCTGTTTGGTAACTGTTGGTATGATTTTTCTCTAGAAAATCAAAATAGTGTGCATTTGCCATGGTTTGAATGTCCCTACCAAGAGTAATGTTGAAATTTAATCACTATTTTGATGTTTAAAACATAAACTGACTACATTATGTGGAGGAGATCTTTGGTAAGAAAGGCTGAAGGGTGAGGCCTGAATTCAATGAGACAATGGCTTTGTAAGAAGAGAAACCTGAGTTAGGACATTCTCATTGTGAGCACTGTGCCATTTTGGACCCCGAGCAGAGCTGCTACCAGCAAGAATGACATCTCTGTGATGGCCTATGTGTAGATGTCCCCCCAAAGCCTTGTGTGCTCATCATAGTTGGGACTTTTTGGAGGTGGCTGGATCTAGAGTGTGTGATGCTGGGATTAAGGGAGTGATAACTGTATTTGTCCACTGATTGGTTTAGCATAGTTCTGTGGATAATGGAAAGGCCTACCCTGGCTGTGGGTGACACCAACCAACAGGCTTGTAGGCTGGATGGGATAAAAGGAAAAAGGAGGCCCAATGCTGCTGCTTCTTGCCTGTTATTCCATGACTGTTTCTCCTTGACCATGGCCCCTGCCATACCATCCTGCCTTGGAGCCAGCTGACTATGAACTGAAAACGTCACACACTTTTGTTAAAATGAACCTTTCTTACTTTAACTTGTAGGTTTTGGGTATTTTATCCAGCAATGAGAAAAGTAACTAAGACACTATAAGTGGCTGCCTGATCTTAAATTTCCCAGCCTTCAGAGTCATGAGCCAAATAAGCTTTTATTCCTTCCCTATTATTCAGTCTATGGTACTGAGGTTGTAAGAACAACAACAACAACAACAACAACAAAAAACCAGATTAAAACAGCTTATTTATTGATTTTAAGTTCTGGTTTTGGCCACAGAAGCTCCTAAATCAAAATGATAAAACTTCAGCAAAGGTAACAGTAATACTGTTTAAAGTAGTATCAGAATACTCTAAGGAGCTTGATCCCCCCGCCCCGCACCCTCTCTGGTAGTATTGGGGATTGAACCTAAAGCCTTAAACTGAGCTACATTCCAGATCTTTTAAAAAAAATTTTTTTTTTTTTTGGTTTTTTGAGACAGGGTCTCACTATGTAGTTCATACTGCTCTGGAACTCACTGTGTAGCCCAGGCTGGTCTCGAACTTACAGTGATCCTCTTGCCTCAGCCTGCCGAATGCTGGGATTTAGGTGTGCGCCACCACGCCTGGCTCTCTTTTTTTTTAAATTTTGAGACAGGGTTTTGCTAAATTTCTTAGGATGATCTTGCATTCTCTATCCTCCTGCCTCAGCCTCCTGAGTAACTAAGGTTACAGGCATACTCCACTGCACCTGGCTAATTAGCTAGTTTTTGTTGAATGCTTATTTTCCTAAACGCTACTCTAAGGCTCATTAATCATTTTAATCTGGTAATGTAGGTCCTTCATATTAAGGCTCACTTCTCAGGTGACACAATGAAATCAAGTAACCATTAAAATAACAAAAGCACAATTATTCTCCTAGAAGTAAGATTACTATTCTTTTTACAGCTATGAAAGAAAAAATTACCAAATTTGACTTACAATGGCCTAAGAAAGAACCAATTAGTGCTTGCAGCCCTCTCACCTTTTTTTTCAACCCATTCCTCAAAACTTTTTGTTCCACCTTCCAGTTGCCCAGAGTTTCCCACTGGTTCTTTTTTTTTTTTTTTGGGTACCAGGGCTCAAACTCGGGTCCTTGCGCTTACAAGTCAGGCCACCAAACCACTGAGCTAAATCCCCAGCCGACCCCACTGGTTCTAATGTTTTAAAATAGAAGGAATAAAGCTGGGTGTGGTGGCACATGTAAGTTCCCTATCAATTAATATACCTATTTCCTGAAGTTGGTTCACCTCAGCTTGGATGTTGAAAATAACAGAATTATCTGATAATAAATGTGGCTCATTAACAAATGATCTATTAAATAACATTTAGAAGTATTCACATTTTCTTTTTTTTTTGTACTGGGGACTGAACTCAGGACTTCACATTTACCAGGCAAGAGCACTATTCCACTAAGCTAAGTACCTGGCCCACATTATATTTTTTAAAGGAGCATGAATTCCCTAGGATTTCAGACTGATAGTGTTTCTGAGGATATTTGTGAGAAGATGGCTTCTTGGTTATTCTTGCTATCCTCTGCTGGAATCTAGGATTCCTTTTTTGGGGTTTTTTTTTTTTTTTTTTTGGTTTTTTTTTGAGACAGGGTCTCATTATATAGTTGAGACTGACCTGGAACTCACTATGTAGCTCAGGCTGGTCTTGAACTCACAGTGATCCTCCTGCCTCAGCCTCCTGAGTACTGGGATTACAGGTGTGCGCCACCACACCCAGCTAGGATTCCTTTTTAAAAAATTATTATTACTTTATTTTTGGTGCTGGGGATCGAACTCGGGGCCCTGCACTTGTGAGGCAGGAGGCAGCACCACTGAGCTAAATCCCCAGACCCTAGGATTCCTTTTTCATATTTAAAAATTTTTTGTACCAGAGATTGAATTCAGGACCTTGAATTTGTGAGGCAGTTGTGGCACCACTGGGCTAAATCCCTAGCCCCAGAATTCCTTTTTCAACTATGCACTTGTGTGTGTGTGTGTGTGTGTGTGTGTGTGTGTGTGTGTGGTGCTGGGAAATGAACCCAGGGCTTTATGCATGCTAGGCAAACACTCTATCGTTGACTTATAACCCCAGGGTTTTTTTGGTCCTGGGATCGAACCCAGGGCCTTGCACTTGCGAGGCAGGAAGCGGCACCACTGAGCTAAATCCCTGGCCCTGACCACTTTTTTTTTTTTAGACAACTCTCTGTAGTTTAGGGTATCCTTGAGCTCATTATATAGCCCAGGCTGGCCTTGATCTCTAGGCAATCCTTCTGCCTCAGCTTCCCAAGGGCTGGGATTATAGGTGTTAGCCACCATGCCTTTCTTAAATGTTGACTTTTAAAATTTTCTAAAATATAAGCTTATCTGAGAAAGAGAAATGGTCATTCTCTAACTTGGACAGAGTTTTCAACATGTAGTTTGAGGATTACCTGCCTCAGACTCATCCCAGATCCTCCTCTCACCTATTACAGCAGGATTTTCTAGCTGGACTCAGGAATCTGTTTTCTAACAACCTCCCCATATGATTTTTATATGTGCATAAATGTGAAACTACTGACCTAGGGGGATAATTTTTAAAAGTAAAGCACCAGCATCATTTAGGTTGTTGGAGTCTTTCCTATTACAGACCACAGGCCAGAACTTCAAAGAGAATCATGTAAAACTCTAATAATAAGAGGACCAAATATAATGTTAGGAGACTAACAATTGACGAGTTTATTTACAAGATTATGTGTCCTTCTATTGTAAATTACTTGTGTGAATCATCTCAATGAATTATACATGTGAAACATCTCAAGTTATTTAATCCTGACTTGCCTTCCATAAAATTAACCAGCTGCCCAGTTTTTACTAAGCTTCCCCCACATAATTTCTAGTAACCCCAGAGGTATTCTCTGAACAAGCCTCATTTCCTGTACAAAAGGAAATGGGCTTAAAATGAACTGAGTTTGGTCAAATGAACAAAATTTAGGTGATTAAATTTAAACTGGTTATCAAAGGAAACTATAGCTTTCGAGACATTTTAAAACAGGAAATACAATTGTATTTTTGGATTCAGATGTGCTACCATTGCGCCATGAGGCCTCACTTACAATCACAGTTTTGGGTGAGTAGGTTGTGTACAGTGGTCTTAAGCCTGAGGGTCCAAATAGAAGATGCTTTAAGAGTCTTTCTTGCTGGCCAGGGGTTTGGCTCAGTGGTTCCACTGTCTGCCTTGCAAGCACAAGGGCAGGAGTTAGATCCCTGGTACAAAAAGAAGAAAAGAAAAGTCTTTCTTGCTGTATAATTTGACTAAATCACCTCTCTATCCAACTGACCGTTAACCTTTTTTAAAAACTAGCTGATCCTTTGCTAGAATTCCATGTGCTACAGAAACACAACTTAGTTATACATAACATACCAAGAAAGAAACTATTGAAGGGAGGGCAGGGACAAGGAGAAAAAATGAGAACCAAGGCCTGTCATGTAGATGTACAAGATCCTAGCAATGAATGTAACTGTACTGTATCCCTAAAATGTACCAATAAACTCAATTTTTTAAAAAAAGAAACTATTTAACCTGATAACACCACACCCAAATAATTCAGATACCAAAGAGAATTTTTCATTGGAATTATTTGGTTTGGCCACATTAATTGGGTAACTCCCCTTCAGTTACACCACAAAATTACTCTTATATTTTGTTTTCAGTTGTCATTTACTCCTGATTCTTGTATAAATTGTTGCTACTTTTCGTCTCTTAAAAATCTAAATCATAGGTCAATCAATGTTACTTACCTTGAAAGTCTTCCTTCTTCAGAACAGGTTGCATTGCTTTTGCTAGCAGAAGAAAAAAGAGATATAAAGGATAAAAAACCCATTAGACATCTGGGAACAATGTAAGAACTGATCCAAACTTCCTTTTTCAAAAACTAAAGATCATAACAATAAAGATAATTCTGCAAAACAAGTCTACCTGGCAAAGCTTTTAAAACATAATTTTATTTTTCTTGCAGGAGATGAGAAAATCTTGTATTTTAGTGTAAAGCATGTAACTTCCATTCCTGTTACCGTATTTGGATTCGTTCCACAGTAACTGGAGGTGTTCCAGCGTATCTGAGAATCTTCACTCAACATCTCCTACTTTGTGAACGAAAATGGAATGGATTGGTGGGATTAAGGGCTAGATTCTGGGAAAACACTGGTTATTTTGCCATTTTCTCAGTGTACAGATGAAAGCTTCTCATAGCTCTACAGAGAAAGACAAGGAAGGGAAGATGTGAAGTTGGGGAAGATGGATCAGGAACAGGAGGAAAGAAGAGTTCTAGCCTTCAGTGTGTCAAATCCACACTTCTGTGAGCTTCACTTTACAGGGGTTGAAGAAGCTATTTAGTCTTCTCTAGAAAATTTTAGTGGAACAGAAATGCTAGTCATTTGTCAACATAATTAACCAATGTATTCAGATTTTTAAAAATATTTTCCTTTATGATACACAAGAAATACAGTAGTCGGTACCTCAGCCTGTCAGGCTTCAAGGTCAGGTTGAAAACTAAGGAATTGGTAGCGAAGTCTAGTGCTTTTAACTCGGGATACTGATACCCAAGTGTCCAGAAAAATAATTTCGAGTCTACTGCCCGCTAATTTACCAGAAAGCCCTGTCAGTGACACACCGTGGGGTTTCTCGGACGTGGGAGCAAGCCAGCACCACTTCGCTGGGGCGTTAAGAGAGCGGGACAGGCAGGGCTGGGAAGGTTATAATTTGAGGAGACCAAGGTGCCAGCAGTAGGGTATTCCCAAGGTCGCTGAGGAAACGCGCCGCGGAAGAAAAGCCGCTCCGAATTCCCCCGTGGGGTCCTCACCGGGCCCCGGTACCCGCGCCGGCGAGCTGTGACGGAGGGGGTCATGGTCCGCAGGACTCAGCCCAGAGCGCGCGCACAGAGACTCCCAGCGCGCCCGAAGAACCTCCCGCTCAGCCCCGCAGCGCTGAAGGGCGTCCCCGGGAGCCAATGGGCACCGGGAGGCGGGACAGGGCGTTC